AAAAAATGGTCCAGCTCTTTGATAAAATGGAAACTCATTTTGATCAATACTTTAAACAAATTAAGAATCACTTAAATCTATACGATGCTAGATACAATGAGGACATGGGTTGGATCTAAGGGAAATTTGACTTGGTTAACAGTAATGTAGCTACGATCAGTAATTACTTTTTAATGTTCAACCCACCACCTCCTCCAAATCGAGGCCCCTCTGATTATTAGTTGTACTTATGTGATGTAGTTGCCGATGAGTTTATGTGTTTGTTGGGTAGATTTTTTCTTGTGATTTTAGTGATTTCGTGTGTCAATGATTTCATGTTTTTTTTTTTTTTTTCATTTTTGGGATGATTTTATTTGGGATGATTTTATTTGGGATGATGTTAAATAGATAAATGTGTTTGTATGTGCTCTTGAATGATAAATGAAATTATGAAATATTGTGTTGACATGCATTCAAATTTCACTTCTTAAATTTTTTTTTTCTTTAGACAAATCACTTGTGGTTGATCTCTTCAATGGAATTTTAAATTATTTTATTCTACAAATTAATTTACTTGAAAAAATTAATATTTCAAAAATTAAATTAAAATTATGATTGGATGTAGATAAGGAGATCAATTTCATATTTGTATAGATAAGTATTATTTAAATATAACTGTTGCAAAATATATGTCTTATTTATTTTATTTTCTTTTTCAATATATATATTTTTGTTATTATTAGAACTTGAATTAAGATTATTGATATTGAAAAGACCAAAAAGTTTAAAAAAATATGCACAAAGCATGCAAAAATTGAAAAGATGTGCACTGTTCGTAAAGTGAAAAGAGGCACAAATTAATCTCAAGTAGAAAAGATGCACAAAGTGTGCCATAAATAATTGAAAGATGCGTAATATCGCCAATTGAAAATTTCATATTGTTCTTTCCGTTATCATTCTATCTATAATCCAAATCCATATTAGCAATCATCTTCACTATTAAATTAGAAATTATTTAATCTTTGTTTCATTATTTTTAACAATAATCATTTTTATTTAATTTGTCTAGAATGAACAGTGAACAAGGTTGAATTTTCTTATCTTAGTTGTTTTTTTAATTTAAAATTTTCTTTTTAGCAATAGGAAGTTACTCTTGTATTTACAATTAGTTTAAAATCTCCTTCTTTATCAACTACTTTGATTTATCATATAAACTTTTTATTTTAAGGTGTACTTCCCTTTTATTGTTGTCAAAAGGGGGAGTCTTGTGATTGTTTAATATTTTTGTGTGTTTGTATATGTTGTTATTATGTGTATGTATATGTTTTATTGTGAGTGTATTTTTTGTGTTAGTGTTTGTATATTTTTATTCATGTTGTTTTTGTTATTCTATTTTTATTTTAGTAGTTTTTGTTTGGTTTTTATTTTGATTTTTAAGAAAACTCCTTATTTTAAATTGATCATTCATTTATGGTGAGCTAAAGAGAAAACTTTCTTTAAATATTAACTCAAATAATAATTATTTTGTCATCATCAAAAAGGGGAAGATTATTGCAACTTAGCTTTTAAAATTATATTTATATATCATGTGAGTTTTTGATGATACTAAAATTTTATTGTGTTGATTATTGTTTATCCTAACATATATTGGAAAAGTCTTATTTGTGTTGTTTGTGTGTACTAATATTTCAGGAAAATCATACTCCATACTACTAAAGACTTCAAGACAAATAAGATTAGGGTTTATTGTAATTAAAGTCTATACTTTTTCTATTATTCTTGAGTCTAAGAGAGTATGATTGTAATTGAGTAATCATGCACACACACACTAAGGAAGTGAGTCGAAACTTATAGTTTTAAATTAATCATATTGTACAATGCTATAATCATACTGGATAATTTAACCTATGTGTTCCTCCAAAAAAAAGTTAAGTGAATCATGCCTTGGAATTTTTTCTTGTACTGTTTGTACTGTACAAACATTGGTTCGTGCAAATGACATCTATAGTATAAATGGATGCGTACCACTTCATCCCGAATGAACTCGTCATTTTTTATATTGATCGTACTATACAAAATGAGTTTCATAAAGATGATGTCCAGAGTATGAAATGGGTGAGTACTAGTTTGTCCCATAAGAACATTTAAATATTTTGGACTGTTCATAAAGTATGAACTTGGGTTCATACAGATGACGTCCAGAGTATGAAATAAACTTGCCCATTTTTATAATAAATGAAGCATGATTTGGTTAAACTGATCCTATTATATGAAATTAATTCCATACAGTACGCAGACTAAAGTATGAAATGCATTCGTACGAAATCATACCTAACGAACTTATTTATTTTTTAACTGATCGTACAGTATAATATCAGCTCATACATACAAATAACAGAGTATGAAAATAAGTTTGTTTAGATTTGTAGAAGGATTTTAAACTATTCATACGTATAAAATATGATCGTATTGTATGATCCAAGACAATCAAATTGAATTTTTTTTAAATTTTTGGACGGTTTTTCTTGCCCTTTTTATATAAGGTCCTAAAACCTGACTGCCTATAAAACTCCTACTATGAATTTCTTTTGAGAGTGCACTTAGAGAGTGTTTGGGAGAGTATCTTTGAATTGGAGAGTAAGAGATTTCTTAAGAGGGATTTATGAGGGGATTCATAAGGTTGCCCAACAGGGAGGATCTCTTGCCTGTTCTTCAAAGTTCTTTCCTACTTTCTTAAAGGCTCTTAAAAGAAAATTTTTAAAGGAGATCTGATACTTTGCTGACACCAGAAGGGTGTGAAAGGACGATGATACTCTGCCAATACCAAGAGGGTGTGAAAGAATGACGGTACTCTGCAACACCAGGAGGGTATGAAAGGATGTCAGTTCTCTACCGTCACTATAAGGGTGAGAAAGGAAAATGGTACTATGCTGGACTGGGTTTGGTGGAAGAGAGATTAATTGTAAGGGCTTCTCCACTTTGTTATGGGAGCAAAATGAGAGTCATTTTAGTATAGTGCAATACTTGAAGAGGGGTTCTTCAGAGAGTGGACGTAGGTCTAGTTAGATCGAACCACTATAAAATTTTATATTTTTCTATATTTAATTTTTTACTGCATTTTTATTTTCTTAAAGTTTTAATTTTATGGTTGAAAAATATTTTTTGAAAATTTTTATTATTATGATTAAAAAAATCTAAAATTTCCAAGAAATTTTTTAAATTATCAATTCACCCCCCACCCCCTCTCGGTTAGCCTTGGGATAATTGCTTTAGGTCTAACAACATATTCGAACTTTTAGGGATAGCTCAAGGAGATATTACAATCTCCATGAACTTTCAAGAATATCATATTTAGCTTTCAAAATAGTGTGTTATTCTTCTTATTATATTTGATTATAAAAATAATTTTTTTTTTTTAAAAAAAATTGTTTTTATCTTTAAATCCATCATGAAATGTCAAGTTCATATTTCAAATTTGTATGTTATTCTCTATGTAATTCAATTACAAAAAAGGAGCACCACAAATCTATGTAAATTTGTTTTTTCATTATTTTTCTAATAACTCTGTTAGGGAATATTCCTCTCTCTAATTTAAAAGTGACTTATATTTTTACACATCTAGCGTATATTTATTTTCTTTATAAGTTGAAACTACCTTTCTTTTATTGGTTAGTTCTCCCATGTCTCACATATACCCTACTTCGAGAGGGACTCACCCTAATAAGATTCAATAGAGGTGAGCATTGGCTCTCAATGAAGCTTGTCTCACAATAGCTAGAGTAAGATGTTCACTCATCTAAGACATGCCCCATTCAATGGTAAATTGTACTCAATAAGATAAAATAAGGGTAAGCACTTGCCCTAATACATTTCACCTAAGAGAAGTTGACCAAGTACGCCCGCCAAGTATGTCTAAATGATGGAGGAACTCACCTCAATAGACCTCGACCCAATGAGGTACTTGTCTCTAGAAACCTTATCATCAAGAAAGACTTATCCCAGCCAAGGCGACTTTCCTATCTCAGAGGCCCCTTCATCCAAACTATAAGGGATGTACACATGCCAACCGTACCCCATAATAATGATATCATCATTCATGCTAGATAACCAAGCTCAAAGAAACTTACCAAAGGCACCATGACTTAAGGTATTCACCCGAATGAGCTGGCTCAATACACTTGCCCAAGAGGACTCACTTAGTTCATTCACCCAAGCATTCACTCGAGAGGAGTCGCTTAGGGCAGTAGCCGGAGGCATTCATCTAATAGACATTTGTTAAGAGAACTCATCACAAGTTGAAAACAAGTAAAGCAAGAATAGATATTGGTGTCCACATGTACATGTCATGGACTAATTCAGGTGCCTATAATTGATTGTAACCAATCAAACATCTATTATTTCTTTTTTTTTTTCTAAATGTAATATATATTGTAGCTCTCTCATCCCTAAAAACATGTGGTTAAAAAGTATCTCTTGGATATTAAGATTATTATTATGAAGATTAAGATATTTTCACTATTCTTATAAAATTGTGATTCTACATTTTTTTTTTTTTTTTTGAGTGAGTACTCACTCATTCTCACTTCCTCTTCCCCTTTTTACCTTGTTAGACTTACCTATAGGGTTAATGTATCACCACTACTAATAAATATGATTTTCGCAGCACATTTTCTTACCTATGGCAGCAGTTTAAACCGCTGCAAAATTATTAGCAGTGGTTTAAAAACCGCTGCACATCCGTCGGATTTGCGTTCGCTGGTAAGGCTTTAGCAGCAGTTTTGAAAATGCTGCTGTTGAAATGATATAGCAGCGATTTAAAAGTGCTGCTGTAGGGATGCTATTGCAGCGGTTTAGAAGCGCTGCTGTAGGAAAGCTATAGCATCAAATTTTGGCAGGTGTTAAAACCGCTGCTAAAGGGTAGGAGTGATTAAAAAAATATATAATTAAAAAATTTATTTTTTATGATTAAATAATACATAAGCAATATCAAAATTGATGCTTCAACATATATAGAATTAAATTAATACAAGCAGTTCTCAATGACTAATACAAAGACTTAAAATATCTAAAAATAAATACAAAAAAAAAAAATCTCCAAGCACGGTATGTCCTGCGCCTCTGCTTCTAAGCTTGGTTCACCTGAATGTGAGAGATATAGAGGGCATCCACATCCAAGCCTTTAACATCAGCACTACTCTCTGCATTTTTAAGCAAATCCAATATGAATCTTGCAGATTTAACGAGCCAGCGACCCTGTCCATTTGAATGGCGAGCCTTGGCTTGGGCGGTTCGCCCTACACCCCTGCAATACCTCCTGAAGGGGATGGATTATTTGTGGGAAATAACATCTTCAAGATACTGTTTGGATTTAACCAAAAGTAACTTTATGAGAGCATGAGCAGTTTCCCTGGTATTCTTGAAATGAACCCTGAGGTCCCTGCCCATAGCCTTGGCGGATTTGGTTGGGTTCGAGGATTCCCTCGAGTATTTAACCATGATGGCCGACCGGAGAAGATCTTTGATGCGGGAGATGAGTTCACAACGTCTTCTCCTTCTGAACTCCCAACCGCGAGAAAATGTCTGCTTTGGATCTTTGTACTTGTAACATTCTGCTTCTGCAGCAGCAATCGAACAAGCTAAGAATAGAAGAACAAATACAAATCTTGGGGTGAGAGTCGTCTAATCAGGATGAAATAGAAAACTTTGTGAATTTTATTGGAAAGGAGATTAATCCTACCATGGCGGTTGTGGCCGCACCGAAAATGGCGATGAGGGATAGCACAGAGACTTGACTGACGAAGGTAGCCATGGCTTCAAAGATCAGCACACCATACACATAAAGATGCTACATACAGAAGCAATCACCATGAGAAACACTTCTTAATGAAGTTATATTAAGCATTAGCTAGAAATAAATTTTCTTTCTACAAATAGTCAAATGACCTTTCAAAATATATAAATAACCATAAAATTAGATTCAAGAGAAATAAAAAATAAAAATATATATATAAAATAAATGAGGTACAAAATTTCATTAACCCTAACTGGATCGGATCGTTGAACGATGACCATTCAACTAGTTTTCTATTACTAAGAATTGACCTGAAAAGCTAGCAGCAGAAACTCTAAAAAATGACGAAGCCTCCCAAGCTTTATAAAAGTATAAAAGGTTTGTTCCTGTGAGGTCGTACGTGCGGGTGGTGTTAACTGTTATTTAATACCGCTCTTACTGATCCATTAAGTATCAAATAATTATCAAAGTCCAATCAATTTCAAATTACTCAATTAATTCTATAGACTTAATGATGCTCCTACTCCTCACAGAGATTTAGCGAGCAAATTTGAAATATCCAGAGTTCCTATCCCCTAGTTAAACTTCGTTATATAAGCTCTCTTGCCCACCCTTCTCTGATTTCCTATGAATTTATACCCACCATCCACCCTTTTCCAAGCAAAGCAACCCCAAAGCCCATTGCCTCCATTCTTCCCAGTGGACTCTGTTAGTAACAGTAGGCACAAACATGTGAATAAGCCAGTGGAAAATGCAAAAAATAGGGACATGAAGGCTCAGAAAGTACTTAACTAAAAATTTTAAGAACCTACAGGAATAACAAAAAGGACAATATTAAAAAAAACTTGCAGACCTCAATCTTATTTAGAATGCCCCATCCATCATGAGCATGAGTAACAATCCACAGAAATTAAATACAAACTACAACTGACACATGTAGCAAATCAAAATTCTGGAAAATCACACAAAACTAGATGGCAGGTCTTGAGCTTTGCATCAACTAAGCTTTCTTTCATGACCCTTCTTTATCCTTCCTCTTTTTCAGACAAGCACCATCAAATTTAAATATGGGCGTGGAGCGCTAACATGACACAATTTTTGGGAAAAAAATGACTAGTAAATGTAATTTTGTGTCTGAGCATAATAACTAGCAGTGCATGTACATGAAAAGCACATTTCATAGTTCTGACTGCAAGCAGTGGCATGATCATTCCATGCGCAATGGTTGTTTTTAAAGAGTCATAAGACAATTTAGAAAAACAAAGAGACAGGCCAAATGGTTCAACACAACCAAATTTCTAGTATAGTTTCCAACAAGTATCTATATATTCTTACGCATTCAAGAATCTAAGTAAATAATATGGTAGCCAACAGGAAAGTATCAAAGGACAGTAAAGTAATATCCCCATTTCCTCGAGATATACCCAGCACTTAAGTGACATGAACCAAAAGAATGGGCATTCTAACCGGTCAAATCGCACAATACAATGAAATTTCTGAATGGTCAAATTTCCAGTCTTAAGTTGACTATCAACATGGACTTGTCTTTTTGTAAAAGAGACAAAACCATCTTAATATTCAGCTTAAGGTTCGAAATAAGCACTCGAAACACTTATGGAGAACAATATGTGCTAGCAACAGCACACGTAGTTATATTATTCTAGCATAACAAGAATCTATCCTATCGTAAAAGCAGGAAATTGTAAGACATTGAAGTCGAAGTATACAATGAACAGTAAAATTACCTCATATATATATAAGAGCAGCTGGTATTTTTTCAGGACCTCTGTCATATCTGCTTTTATTTTCTTATTTGAAGAAGAAAGAGCAGTGGTGACATCCTCAGGTAAGTAACTTATACCACTTCGTACAACCTAAAAGGAAAATATAGCTTCTTATTTTAAATACACATCCATCAGAGGAGCATAATTCATAATTTAAATTGAAAAATAACTCTATTCAGATAAATTAAAAACAATCAATAATCTTCGTTACCAATCAATCCAATCTTATTGCATTAAAGCAATAATGTAAACAAATAAAAGTCAAAATATGCATAATTACAAGAAAAATAACCAAATCAAGCATGAATCAAGCCATAGATACCTTCTTGATTTGATGTTCCATAGGATCTCCTTGCGCTGCAGAAATGAATGATCGACATCGAAGTAATCTCTTAGGGAATTAGTTAGGCGTGATAGCTGTGTCAACATCTTTTTTGTGACTCTTTTGAACTGTCAATCTCCGCTAAACCCTCCCTGCAGTCCTGCTTTTCCTTTAAGAAGAATGATCACTTCTTGGGAGATGCTTTCACCGGTGACTCTTTTGAAATTATGTGTTAGGAGATGCTTTCTTTCTTGGAGCCTATGGCTGTGAAATCCTTTTGAGATGAACATAAGTGGCTAGAGAAGTTCCAAGCAATCCTCATTTATTGGAAAAGTTAAAATGAATTGGCCATGCGAAAATGCGAGTTGTTTCACAATAATAAGCAAAAGAAACAGCCCCGTTTTCAAACAAAAAAACTTAAATTTATATGGATCAACATATTTTTTCTTGGAAAATTTGCGACAAAATCAATAGCTTTCAACAAAATTATAATTGTATATTCAACAACTTTGAACTAAATAGCTTGCACTTGATCGCTATATTAAGCATTAATATGGATAAATTTCCCTTGATTGGTCTCAAAGCAAAAAAAGAAAAAAAAAACATAGCAGTTAACAAAAAAAAAACATAACTTTAATTAAGTTGTGTAGAGCAACTTAAAGCAACTCTATATTAAGTTGTGCCCATTTATACTATGTCTTCCCTTCTTCTACACCTTGGATGTCAATTAGGCGGATCATTATCTCCCTGTTATTAATATAAAAATCATAAGTAAAAATTAAGGTGATAAATAAATTAATGAATGAAAATATCTAACTTTTTAATTTTGCATACCAAAGTTGAGCTTCCTGGTGGTGGATGTTGTCCCTGCTAATTTTTCATGAATTGTTTCACCTCACTTTGTAGTGTTTGCACCACATCCTCATGTCTTACAACTCGCTCAAGTGCATAATTGCTTCTACTGCTGCTTCCTGGAGTCGTGGTGCTATGGGAAAAATATCTACTTGGAGTGACCCCAAAACCCTGTGTTCGTACCCTCCCTGGGTGTTATGGCCCCATGATTATCTTGAAGACTTATCATTGGCCTCGAAATTTCCATCTTATGGCTTCAACCCTTCCTCAGCAAGCATTTCACAAGCATGTAACTAGATTTAGAAAAAATATATACATAGTTAGCATTCAATAAACTGATCATGTGAAATGCTAATGATTTTACCCATTTTTTGTCTAGCCTCCTCAGATGACCATGATCCATCTTTACGCATGCGATTGATTTTCCATAATAACAAGCGATCTCGTATAGACTACAAAAAATTTAAAATTAAATTTTTTACATTAAAATATAAATATATTGCTCTTTTGATTACGTACTATTTCTTCTTGTCTCCTTATAGAGCTCACCTGACCCATCGTATGCGGACACTTTTGTATTTTTGCATTTTTCGCATTTTTGCTGCTCTCTCCAACAACAAATAATTGTCATATTAATTTCATTTTTGAAAAAAAATTGTTAACGTGATTTATTGTCCTAACTCATCTTGTCCTGGGGTTGTGATCACTTATTAACAAGTTGACACCACTGCACTGAGTCTACTCCTACAGGAACAGACTCCATAATCTCTTGTACTTATCTACTATCCCAATATTCATCTTTCAAACTGGTTTTATAGTT